TATACACATATATAGATATATATGTATCATATGTATATATATGTATATATGTATATATAAATATATTTATATATGTATATAATTTTAAAATTTTTATAAACATGTTTATATATGTGTATAATTTTATGAATATATATAATTTTTAAAATTTTATTTTTATTTTTATTATTTTATTTTTATTTTATATTAATTAATATTATTAAATATTAGGGATTGATGATGTGGCAGATGACTAGGATGTCATGTCAGCATTAAATAATATTGTTTTTCGTTCAGGGTTTTATTTGCTAATTTTTAAAAGTATAGAGTTTTAATTGCCAATTTTTAAAAGTACAATGTTTTTTTGGATCAAAAAAAAAGTACAGGGTTTAAATTGAGACGAGAGAAAAGTACAGGGTTTTAAATGGAATTATCCCATTTTTTATTGGATCCAGATTATGTGAAAATCTGATTTTTTTTTAGGATGTATCTCATGTCATAATATTAGGATAAGTTGACGCTCTCTAACAACTACAAAGAATAAAGGCATGGACCACGGAGGATGGCAAAATGATCATTAAATAAAAGTAGTAAAAATTAGAATTCATTTTAAAAGAAAGAATAATAACAATAATTCGACAAAAAAAAATATTACTTTTTCTCGTCAGAAAGAATGGTAACAAGAGAAAGAACCATTTAAAAACGTGGGCATCAGGGGGCATGGCTCTCCGGCGGAGAAATCATTGGATTAGGTGACGGAAGAAGGGGTAAAAATGTCAAGATTGTACAGGCATCATCAGGAAGAGGCCGACTCTTTGCTGTTGGGAGTTGTACCCTCAGGTACCACTGCCGCCATTGATCCTCCTCCTCCTCCTTCTTCGGAAGCATGCCTTGCCGCTTGTGAATCTGAAATACCCATCAATATATACATATACATATATGTTATACGTTTTGGAAAAAGATGATTTAATCGATCGTGGCATTGTCGAACCATAAAAGTTGGATGTGTTTCTTCCTGTGGTCAGACGTCATTTATTAGATGGAATGGCCGCTTATTATGACAAAGATAGATATCCGGAATCATTCTACAATATAAAAAGGTGAAACAAACCCACATGCAATCACTATTGGCTTAGAACAATTTTAACCCACACACACCGTGCAAGCGCTCACATGCATATATACTTGCGTGTACACATATACATACGTATGTATGTATGCATGTGTGCGGTGCTTCCCTGGCATGCATGGATACACAAAATTGACAGATGAGAATGGCATAAGAGACACATAAACCGATGTAAAAAAAAAACTGGACAGCTCACTCCACATGACATGACTGACCCGTAAGGCAATTATATATGTCTTCCCACATGTGCCCAATCATACACTCTCCTTTGTTTCCATTTCATCATCCGTACTTACCACATCTCCATTTCCTCTTTCTCTCTAATGTTTTCAATGGCCGTAATATAATGTCTCACATATAAACCCTACCTATCATGCACGCGGCATATATAATTACGTGCTCACGGAGATCATATATTATCAATATCATTTAATCAGCCACATTAATCGTAACAAACCAAATAGACAAGCAAAAATTCAAAAAGCCAGACAACCAGATATTTTTGGATCATATTTGTTTCCTTGTGGGGAGGAGACACAGAACCATATATATGAACGGTCAAGGCACATGACAATGAACAATGTCGTTCGGTACGGGACTGATGAGGAGGATTAACGTGGACAAGCTTACGTACCCGTAGAAGAAGAGACAAGCATCTGCGGAGGAGGAGGGGCAACAGCGGAAGAAGGTCCGAACTGGGAAGGGTAAAATAGGAAAGAAGACGAGGCCGAAGCAGCAGCTGGAGGAGAAGGAGAAGGGAGCATCTGATGACGATGATGATGTGGGTATGGTCTTGGGCTTGGAGTCTGGAAAGGATAGCTATAGTAGTAAGGAGAAGGCATGATGGCGGATGAAGATGGTGATGATGCTCCTCCGTACAATTGCTGATAGTACTGTGCTTGTTGGATCTGTGAGTTGTATATCGCCTGTGCATGTCCCCCATATATATGCACGTATGCATATGCATTGGTTAATTATCATCATTGTTGTCTATGCAAAGACATGTGCGAATATAAGGTTCTTGTTCTCTTTCAACTTTCACGTAAATAATGAAACATTTTCTCTTTAGTTATGAATTTTATTGGCTTACCATCTTTAGATAAATGATTTCGGAAGAAATATATCATATTTTGTGCGTGTGTTTGCAACGTTAACCTTTCATTACTAAAAAATATATAATGCACCTATGGTCTGATGATTCATATTTTTCCGACATATGTTATGATGCACATTTTACCATATATAGGTATATATGTTTCTGCGTGTGTTGAGAATGCATGCAGTCATGCACACGCACACGCACACGCATATATATATATATATATACATATATATATATAGAGAGAGAGAGACTGACTTGGTGGTACCCATATTCAGGATTGTAGGTGTACCTGAAAAGAGAGAATTCAATGACCCGACATTATACAAACAATTAGTCTTATATATTTCACGTAAATAAATTAGTGCATATTTTTCGGCTAAAAGATTTATTAACCATATAAGAAAAAGGAATCAGAAGATATTTCCCATTCCATCTCTCAGGTACCCAACTCTTCACATTTGCACGGCCAATAATCACAGCATGAGAATATACGTACATACACACTTGTGTGTGTATATATATATATATAATATCTCCACGTACATAAACACATATTGTCACGATGATCTAATGCTGGAAACCAACATATTGCATAAATTAACCAATGTTATATTTGGTTAGTCGAGTAATTTTTTATATCTATTTTGATATTTTACAGGCTGACACCAACTGGATCGATTGAAGCATTAAATATGATATTCTGTCTCGTTCCATTTCTATCAAATTGGACCATCTCTTTGTCCGAGCAAATTTATACAAATTCTCTATAAGGAGTATATAATTCGTAATTATGAAAAAAAAATAGTATAAAAATATATAGAACTCACCCATACGACGGATACATGAGCTGAGCCGCCGCAGCAGGCGGCAGCGGAGCAGCCATTCCCGCGTACCCCGACGTTCCTCCGCCGTGATACTGACTGGGGCTTCCTCCCTGTCCTCGCCCTACGCCATTAACAGACGATGATGATGATGATGATGACGATGATAATCTAATTGATTATTATATTTTTATCAAGAAAAAATAATAAAACCTGATCATAGCATGTATCACAAATGCCGTTAATTAATGACATTTCTTTGTCTGGAGTTTTTTTAATCAAACTTTTCAGAAAAAATAGTACGGATTCATATCATCTATTTCCTGGCTATTCGTAGCAAACAAATTGGAAACTATGGACCGTTCACAGAATAGATTACGAACCTCGAGGTGGTGAAGGTCGGGGCCGACCGAAGGATGCGATATTGCAATTGGTCTTTCTCCCGTCAATCACCGGATTCGGATCGGCGACGGCTCTCGTTGCGGAGTCCGGGTCCCTAAACGTGACCTGACGAAAGTCGGAAACTGAATGATATACGATGATACATAAAAAATTCAATAAGTATAGAAAAGAGTTGAGAGGAAGGGGGGTATACGAATCCGTATCCTTTAGATCTGGCGGTGTTCTTATCGGTGATGATGACTGCTTCGAGGATTTCTCCAAACTGTTCGAAGTAACGTCGCATTTCATCGGTCGGGGTCTCCCATGGTAAGCCTCCCACGAACACTTTGGTGTACGTCGTGTCCCCGAACGGTGACCGGTAATAACTCGTATTAGACATTTATTATACGGTCTGGATAAATGATATGAACGGATGGATATGTGGAGAATACAAATGAAATGGGTTGGTTTAAATCATCGGAAAAAAAGATGGGAAATGGGAAAAGTTGGCTCCTTTTTGTATCATCAAATGCATCAGTGACACTTTCTCCTCTCCTTTTTTCCCCTTGGGCAAGAGATGATAGACCACTAAAATGTTGTCTTTCTACGACCCTACATGAGAAGAGAGAGAGAGAGAGAGAGGGAGAGAGAGATTGTAGAGTTAAATACGAAGCAATAGGTTTTGGGTCGAAGGAGGGTTTTGTAACGAGAGAGATGGAGAGAGAAGATGGAGCTTGAGTGTGTCTTCGCTGTCTTATTTGCCAGGTTTTACATTATAGCACTCCCACAACTTTTGCTTCTCAATTTATATATATATCAGTTTGTAAATTTTTATGTTATTTTTGTAAAACTTGTAGACTAACATATTGCTCAACTATTGTATAATATCTTTCTCACTTTTCAAGACTAAACTATACAACCAATTACAAACTATATATATATAAGATGTATTTTGCATATTTGCTAAATGGTACGATTTAAATTCTTGTTGTTTCTCTTTGCGTTTTCGCATGTTAACTTTTTAGTTGTGGTCTTGTTGTCTTCTTCGTGTTCCTCTCTCTATCGACGTTGAGTTCAATTGGTTTTGTAAAGACATGTTCTTTTTTTTATATATATATTATAAATATTATACGCAATATATTTAATAATAAATTGAATAATAGGGAATATAATATTCCCTATCCCCACATGACAACATGTACTTAACCTTCCCCTAATCATAAGGTGATGCCGAAGCTCAACTCCCAAACACTAAATATATTAACAAAGAACGGATTAAACAGTTCGGTTTTTGGATTGCATTTTATAAAAAAAAAAACTATATAGATTGTATCTTTCTCTCCACACACACAAATTAAGACATGGAAAACGAGAAAACCTAAGAAATAACAGCTGGATATATGAATTTTTATCGATAGAATATATATATAGTCAAGACTCCATATATACACATATCCTGCCATACTAACAATTGTATGATTTCCATTATTAGTGGATGTCCATTATTCTTTCCACCAAATCATATGGGAAATTAAACAAAAAAAAAATGAATGGTTTTGACTTTTGGCCTCTTCCCTGATCTGATTTCATGGTGCTCAATATTTCACATTTTGGATCGATTAAATAAATATTTTTTTAAGGGAACATAATTCTATAATTCAGATTCTTATATCCTATAAAGTCGAATTTACAATCTAATTAACTACTTCATTGAGTTAACTCAATATCTTTTTTAAACTCTGCGAATATAAAATCTTCCAACTTTCTAAACTTAACTCTATAAAATCTACAAAATACTTTTTATTTAAATTGTTAAATGATTTTAAATCATTTTTAACGTATTCAAAGACATACATGCTCGAGTGCGGAGATGAGGAGAGAGAGGCATTGTGTTGAAGACAAGTGAAAGTGGAGGGGAGAGGGAGAGAAGATTACAAGAGCAGCTTTACTTAGGCGCGCGCACGCACGCAATAACGACCCCTCTCCTCTTATGATCAGTTAACTACTCTCTGCTTTCCACTCCTTTTCTTTTTTTTCTCCCTATATATATATATATATATATATATATATATATATATATTATATAAGACCCTTTTGTGTCTATTTTGATTGTTTTCTTAATGAATGATAGAATCCGCTTATAAATTATATCCCGTTGATGAACTCAACAAAACTAGTCAGTCCATAAAAAATCATATTACCAAGACTTTGGCTCTGCATATATAGCACAGACCTATAAAAGGCTCGAGATTTTTCTTAAAAATCTGACAATATATATTTAAGACGTTGACTGATGTTAGTTCATGACGAAATATTAGTTTTAGTATAGAAAATTTATTTGTATTTATACAAACTCCAACCCTAATGTAACCTGCATAAAAATTTGACATAATTTTTTTTTGCCCTCAAATCATATTTTGAATTCGAATTTATTGAAAACAAATAAAATGATAAAAAAAAACTTGTTAATTTGAATATTGAAATGAATAGATTTGATTTAATCGAAAATATTTTCTATGAGAAATACAACTCTTGAGAGATGCTTTGAGATAACATTAATTTTTATTTGTGAAGCTTAACAAATACACACATATATATATATATATATTAAAGAATCATTAAAAAAAAGTGTTAAAATTATGAAAGGAAAAGAAAGTGGGGCAAGATGCCAGCGTGGCAAAGGGGGGGAGACAGCTGCAAGGGGAGATAGAGAGAGCTGTAAGAGAATCATCTGTGAACTGGCAGCTCCCTCCACGTGGACCTTCCTGTCTTTCTCCTCCTCCTCCCTTAGCTGTCTTTCTATTTCTCTCTAATTTCCTGTTTTCTCCTTTTATAATTAATTCTCCTAAATTAATACAAACTTTTGAATTATTCTATGTCTAAATATTTTACAAGCTAACAGTTTACATGATTCCGTAGACACGAGTAAGGCTAAAAAGTAAAAACTTGTAATTCAAAAAATTATAATATACAAAAAATTACCGAATATATTTTTATATTTGCATAACTGAAAAGTAAAAGAGCACCCCAATTCTTTTTCATATTTTACGAGGAAGCCCATTTTAGGCCCATTTATAGTTACCTACGGCCTTATATTTGGGCCTATTTCTAGTTGTGTCTCCACAACATGAACTTCTTCAATTTTTGTATTTGGGCTTTTCAGAAACCCAATTATTTTCTATAAAACCCATGTGTTTTGCAAAACACACGGTCTGTTGGTTTTTTGGTAATTTGATTCGGTATTTGTTAAACCGGGATTTCATCATTACTACGGAAGCGGCCACGTCATGAGTATGTCACCGAGCAATGATGATTCATGGGATTTGGTGCAGAGCGGATCACAAAGTATTATATATATATATATATATATATATATATGGTGTGCCCCATTCTAATCATTTCATTATCTCTTACATACTAATGACCATATTATCATTATGGCCCATGATCTTGTATTTTCAAACCTCTAACAACGGGTTTTTGCTAGTCATTGTGGTTACACTTCACGCGATAATTTTGAACTATCCATCTATCAATCGATAATTACAATTTTACAAAAAAAAAAAACATATTGGATCCCATGCAAAATTCACATGCATCTGCATTTGAATGTGCGTGTAGACATTTGATAGGAGAGACGGGGCATGAGAATTGTGTTAATGCCTTTTCGAGTTTTATGTGAAATCAAAACTAATGAAGAGCCCACGACGTAAAAGGAGTCACATGGAGCTTTTTAATTTGTTCTTTTTTCTCTCTTTCTCTTTTAGATGTGTGACCCATCCCTTCCTTCTAATGTCTTCTTCCATGCTTCATGTCATTATCCGACTCTATCGTGACATCATTCACTCATTCCATTTTATGTTCATAGCATTTTTTTAAAATATTGGATAAATTTATTCCTGCCGACTTTCATACATATATGTTGGAGAATATGGAATCAAATATACATAAAATTATGTTTATAATAGAATTGTTATATTATAAAAGACTAGTGTGTGTGTGTATATATATATATATATATATATCTGTGTAGATAGTTTTAAAGCCATTAATATCATTTTAAGCATTTTATAAGCCCTTTATTTACATACAGTATTTTTATACTCTACGCAATAATTAATTAATGTTGGGTTTACATCCATCTAATGAAAATTTCCGAGTAATCGATTGATTTCTTTCTAGTAACTAATGGACAACGAAATGTCAGGCATTAATTATAGTACACATTACAAGAAATGGATCTTAGTGGACTGCACTGAAGCTTTGAACATTTTAATTCATGGCTCTCTATATTGAGGTAACCATAAGTTTGATTTTTGCTCGAGTACTATTTACAGCACATATAAAAGAAAATTACCAAATTTTATATGAAATTTATACATGTATTAGCAGTTATAATATAAATGATAAATTAAAACTTGTGATACATGTTTCTGCGAGTTAGTATCTTGAAACTTTTTTATAACGAATCTCACCCCCTCTATTATTATTATTATTATTATTATTATTATTATTATTATTATTATTATTATTATGCTATAGCAAAGAAAAATTGGTAGAGAGTGCCAAATAAATAGGTGGAAGTTGTAGACATATAAAATTGTGAAAATTAAATAAGAAACAAAGACAAATAAAAAAAGAACAAAATCACTTTATTTTTATATCTTTTTTACTCTTGTTACATTACAATTACAATAAAAATAATTTACATATTTATAAAAAAATTAAAAAATAAAATAAAAAGAAAATATAGATATAACGAAAATATATATAATACATAATATTTAACATAATATTATAAATCTATATTTTGGTCCGATCACATCTTTATTATTTATTTCAATAGATATTGGGTGGTGGACGCTTCATATTTCGAGCATTATGAAATTATATTCCGCAGTGCGCAAACAGTGTTGAATTTAGTTGGGATATTCGCAGTCCCAATTACCTAATTTATATTGTTATCAATCGGAATACACAGTTCACGAGAATTTACACGATGCTTTGCTAATGGATTTATGAACGTGAGATGTTGACTTTTCAGTTTTATACAATTGATCAAGATATCATATATATATATATATATACAATATAGAATTTCGGTATCTGCCGATATACATATTTTAAAGCTTCCTCCCAACTAAACTGTTGAGATGTTACATCTAACCTTCACATCAGTACCCGACGAAAGTTGTTATTCATGAAAATTGAAAGACAAAGAGATACAAACTCTTTCTCCATATATATTATTACGAATATCTAAGATACTCGTGGTATACCCAATCTGGGTAGTTCAACCGGTGAAATGGGAGTGCAAAGCGTCTGTCCCGCCCCGAGTTCGAACTCCAGAATGGGAAGGAGCGCATAATTCAAATCACATGGCTGGCTCTCGGCCCTGGGATTAGTCTGGACCTCGGTTCAGGAAACCCGGTTACCCAAAAAAAAAGATACTCGTGGTATTTTTTATAGTTCATTTATGTTACAATCGATAAAGTAATTTAGGATTACATTTGATTAAATGTATAAAAAAAATATTCCAATCAAATTAAATGGCATTTAATTGGGGATTTAATTAGGATTAGTAGTGTTGGCATTATATCTGATAACCTTTATTATATATATATATATATGTATGTGTTTATGACCAGGGGCGGATCTACATACAAGTGTATGGGGGCACATGCCCCCACTCAATCAATTAAAAAATATTTTTTTCCACACAAATTATAGAAAATTTTGAATAAAATTGTATAATGCCCCCATAAAATTAATATTATTTATAATAAAAATAAAATTGCCCCCTCTTAAATAATTTTCTAGGTCCGCCACTGATAGAGGGCGAGGTATTCTTCCTGCCTTTCGTGATCAGACGTGTTCTTCGATTGATACAGGCCCCGAATCGATTGAGGTAAGCGTTCTAACGTTTCTACGATTCAATAGCAGCATGGTTCTAGGGTTCTATGAATTTTTGTTTTACTTCCGCTGCGCAAACCCTAGAATCGATCTCCTAGGAATTAGATTCGCTCATGAGATCCCAGGAAACCCAACAGTGGTATTAGAGCCTGGTTGCTCTGTTTTGATTTCGTAGAACCCGATCACGCACGTTTTAGGATTTGAATTGTTTGAATCCATGTTTGCTTTGATATCTATGCATGTTTGATGATTGAATCTAGTGTAGATTGCATGTTTCATGTTGCATAGAGTGCAGGAGTTCGAATTTTGGGTGTACAGAAGAATTCGGATCAGTTTCGGGTCTGATCGGGGCCGAGAACGCGGGAAAACTTGATCTGATCATGTAGACCTACCCTAGACCGTTTATGACTTGGGAAGTCATGCAAGACGAAACAAAAGCCCCTTTTGTCTGCATATGTTTTATGTTAAGTGAGATCCAGATCGGCAATCTCATTCACACATATGCTTATGAACACGCGTCTTCCATAATGAACGACATTTACATATATAAACCATCTTTCAATTTAAAAAAAAAACATTAGTCATATTATGTACGAAAATACAAAAGAAGACATAATTACGAAAAAAAACGCGTCAAAAGCACCTCCCATGAGATGTTCTTCTTGTAACGTTTAGCCCATTGACCTCTGAAGAAAATTAGTTCCGGTGTCCAACACCACTAGTATTTTATAAAAACAAAATAAAAAAAATAATAATAAAGCGATAAATTAATTAAAAAAAATACAATAAGTAACCAAAAATAAATAAAAGAAAAAGCAACGAAAAAATGCCCATGCTTTATTCTGACAGCTTAGATGCATTGGCAATACGTACGTTAGCATGCATGGTCTTACTTGTAAAGACTTTGACTTTTGTCCAACTCTACAGTTTTTTTTTTTTTTTAAATCAAACCTTTTTGCTACAAACTTTAACGATAAGGTTTTCAAATATATATTTTTTTAACATTGGACCATGCTCTTCAATCACTTTCCCCAAAAAATCAGTTATTCAAAGATAATATTTTATCTCAGTAAATCTACGTGTATCTCCTTTACGGTTAGAAGTGGGGTAGATTTTTTTAAATAAAGAATATATTTTTCGAAATTGATATTTTTTCTGGCACACAAATGGGGAAACAATATTTTATCAAAATGGGAAAAGAAAACAAAGAGTTAGGAACGGCCGCACTAACATTCATGGAGAGATAACGATTCCACAAACTCTACAATTTGCAGATCCTTGTCCGGTTATGAACACATTAACAATTACAAGTCAAATATTATGGGTCAAGATCCACTTACACGGTTAGGCAACGTGGAACTTTCGACTTGCATTTGTAAATTTAGATCGGATGAACAATAAAATAAATTGTAAATAACGCCTTTGACGTGTTTTTTTTTATTTATTTTAAAATTAGATTTGGGAAATCCCCACTTTAACCCTTAAGATCCACCGTCGGTCTAACCCACTATACATATAGTCAACGAACGGTGGATGGGCGTGCATGCAAAACAAATCTAGAATTATGTATTGCTAAATTCACACGTTGAAATTTAAATTATTTTTGCGTTGGAAATAGCGGGATATAGTTTAACAATGAGAAAATACGTGGTTGAACCAATGATCTTATTATAACCAGTGTCGGTGTCGACGTACCGGTTGCTAGTATAATATTATTTATTTATTTTAGCCATTCGAACGAAATATTTTAGACGTCCTCTGTCGTTTGTTTGCTAGAGCTGTAGGAAATATGTGTTTGCGAATCGACGATCAATATTTGGACCATTTCAGCTATTACACATATCCACGAATTATATTCTTTATATCTAAATGTCACTGTTCCATTGGCACACATTATGTAAGTGACGTTTCGAAATGTTGTGCAACTCGTTTTTTTTACGGAATATATATATATAT